GTGTTTGCATGGGCTTTTGAGGAGTTTAAGGGATCAGGGCTTTTTCGGTTTAAGGGTTCAAAATGATCTAAGACGGCTTAAGGGTAGAGGGTGTAAGGTCCAGAGTGACTCAATCAAGCCCCACTCCGACAGCTTTGAGGAGAAGTGTTTTCCGGTTCCTGGTGCGGACATAGTTGTCGTATTCTATGGGCATGAAGGCCCGTAATTGCCGGACCATTGAATGCCGCACAGGCATTCTAGTGTGCACTTTCTTTTTCGGGCCCCTGATTAAGCGCCATGCCCAAGATCCCTGAGACAGAAACCAGAGAGACCCGCCCGAAACCTTGAGCAACAATCTCCAAGCCCACAGTTGCAACGCTATCCGGCATCATCCCTAACTGGCCAGCTAACTATAAGCCTTAAACCCTAAACTGTCCTAAACCCTATGCCCTGAACGCCTCAGGTGTCCTACTTCCTTGGCATGCAAGATGGCAAAGCACGGGCTCTCCAAGCCGCGATGATCGACGACGAGTTCTACGTCCACCAAATCCATCTCCAGAAGAAGTCCTCCAAGAGTAAAAACCTGTCACCGAAGGAGGGGTTTCTTTGAGTTCAAGTGGTGGGGAGGTGGGTTTGGGTTTAGGATTTAGGGTTTAGGGTTTGGGGTGATTCTAAGTCTTTCGGACATGGTGTAGCCCTTCTGGAGATTCTCAAAATCAGAAACTCCAAATCAAAAACGACAGAACTGGGCAACCTAAACCCCGAAGCCGACACCTTAAAACATCTCGAGGAGAAGCGGCAGGCCAGGATTATGGAGATCGCGGAGCAGGAGACACAAGTGTTTTCATAGCCGGACAAAAAAACACCGGTCTTGTGGGTTTAGGGGGTTAGGGTTTAGGCCCGACCACCAGAGCCCCAACGCGCCGTCAAGGCTTAAGCCCGTGAGCTTTAGTGATGCCGCCAAGCCCAAAGCTCGACATCCTGAATCCTTCGGTCACAGCTTGACAATCACGTGCATCAGGAGACGCATGAGGTGTCCAAGTACTTCTTGAGGCAGATCGGCAGCGCTGCAATTCAAGACATGGTGCACGAAAGGAGCCGGCTTTTTGTGGCAATCAGCTTCGGGCGAGGGCTTAGCATTGGAGACCCTAAACCCTAAACCGTTGGGAGTGCTTGTAAAGCTGTGAGTTTGTGCGCTGCTGCTAATGTCTCAGGGTCGGTGACACGTGTCGGCCCCAAGCCAGTGAGCTTTTGCCCGGTACCAGGAACCTCGCCTAGGCAAGTTTGAGAGTGAGTGCTGAAACCGTGGCCACTGGATTGGGCTTAACATCTAGAGGTTCTCTTGAACCGGCCCTGGAGACGAATCACAGCAGTAACAGGAGCAAATGCAACAGAGCACCAACCCGGACGGTTGAAATAGTCTATTGACTCCCTGGTTCTTACTTGGGAATGGGGAAATGGGTTCTAGGGGCTGCTCTCAGGGACTACCATACGGATTCCTTCCCCCATTCCCGACTAAGAATCAGTGAGGTAAGGAGGCAGCAGCGGCAATTGTCAAAATCATGGCCCCTTTGGGAAACCCCATATAACATATAGTTCTACTCTTAATACGGCACCCAAGGGTTTGGGCATGGGAGCCCTATATACTTCCACTCTTGATACAGCACCCTTAAACCCAAACCCCTAAACCCCCTACAGTTTGGGAATCCCAAAGAGGCCCTAATTCCTAAACCCAAAACCCTAAACCCCCTATAGTTTGGGAATCCTAAAAGAGTCCCTAATTCCTATAATTCCTTTCCTAAACCCCAAACCCAAACCCCTAAACCCCCTATAGTTTGGGAATCCAAAAGAGGCCCTAATTCCTAAACCCACAACCAAAACCCCCAAACCCCCCTATAGTTTGGGAATCCAAAAGAGGCCCTAATTCCTAAACCCAAAACCCAAAAACCTTAAACCCCCTAGAGCTTGGGAATCCAAAGGACCCTAAACCCTAAACCCTAATTTGGACCTCCACGCGCACCTTGGAACCCCAGACCCTCCAGCTGCTTGGGGGATCTCTGAGGCCCGACAGCAATGAAACCCTCAGAGGCCTCACAGCCCTGAGGTGACGCTCTACAGTCACGGTTTAGGGTCTAGGGTTTAGGGTTTAGGGTTTAGGGTTTAGGGTCGGGAAAACAGTAGTAGTGATCTTGCCCTACAGTCCTATAGTATCAACTTGCTAGACTGTAACCCGAACGCTGTTCTACTTAGGCTCCTCCGAATTGCCAAAGCCTAGGGCCTATAAGCCCTGCCCCAACCCCTAAACCCTAGACTTTTGGACCCGGCTGCGACCTGGACCGGGAAGCTTATAATATAGAAGCCTAAATACTTACCTCTACTATTTTAGGGGGTTCCTTATTACAATTATAGTTTTGTGGGCCCCAAAACCCTATTCTAATCATTAAGGCCCCTATATTGCTACGTTCCTAAACCCGACCATGGCCCTCAGGAGGCAGGACTTCGAATCCTTTTTTCGCTGTTGCGGATTGCTCCGCTACAACAATGCGGCTCGTTTTGATGTCAAGCTTGGGGTGTTCCCTTCAGGTTCTAGGGCTTTCTAGGGCGAAGGTTCGGAGTTCTATCTTAGTTGTTTGATATGACATGAGGCTGATGTTATGGGTCGTGGGGCTTTCAGACGTTGACGTTGATTATCTGCCTAAACCCTAAACCCTAAACCCGAAACCCTAAATGAGAAAAAGCTCGAGCGCATGGGACGACGCGACCTCTCGGAGTCTTGCGGCTTTAAAGAGACTCGTGGTTTCGTGCAGTAGGATTGAGATTTCCGGCTGGGATATGCTGGGATCCAGAGTTTGGGATTCAGGGGTTTATGCCTTATAAGGGTTTAGTGCAGTGTTATTTGGGTTTTTCTCCCGGCTAAGCGGGCGGAAAGGGGGGGGAAAAGCTTTTGGAAAGGCTTGGTTCCGAGATTAGATTTCACTGTATAGTCCCTTTGTGCTTGCTGCCTCGCGCGTATATGAATTGTGCGTTCCTCGCTGTGTTTCTTTGGGGGGTGGGATTCGTGCAGTGTTTCTCGGAGTTGCATTATCTGCCGGATTGATGAGGCGCCTGAAGGGGAGCTCTGTTGAGGGTTTGGGGGTTTAGGGTTTACCTTAAGAACCCAAAACCCATTTTTTTGCAGGTTCTTTTTATAAACCCTAATATGGGATTTATAGGGACCCTACAAAAAAGTAGGTTTTGGGTTCTTCAGGTAGGCCCTTGTGTGTCCTGTCCAGGTCAAGCGCGACGATGCCTTCTGGAAGAAGGAGCCCCTCGGCTCCGCGTGATGGAAATTCTTCAGGTCGGCTTGGTTCAGGAGTAGAGTAGGGTCAAGTGTTTAGGCTTATAGGGTTTAGGGTCGCATCCGTATATCCTAAACCCTAATTAGACCCTTCTCTCTTCGGTGATGCAGAAGCCCTAAACCGCTTCGTAGGAAGTCGCAGCCTTTCGTGGAGTCCGGGTGGAAGCCAAGCCCCCCTTACCTGTTGGGTTTTGTGCCGTCGCTCTTTATAGGCAGCCTCTTGAATCCACCGTGTGACGTCAACTTGAGCCCTTTGCATAGGAATCCAGAAGAAAGATGTACGATGTTGAATCGAACTTGGCAACACTAGCAGCTGGCAAGACTGATGATAGCGGAGATAGCAATATTCCAGATCCATAACTTTCGGATCCTTACAAGCCCTAACAGTCTAACAGCCCTGACCCGAAATCCGGGAGTGTGCCCGCCAAGGATTGAGCGCAGGGTCGACATCTTCGTGGAGCAAGAGAGCACGCCCTTGCAGAAAAAGGATTTCGACTTCCGTGTGCGGAGATTCCTGACCGAGTTTTGCATGAGGACCGGGAGTTCTTAGCTGAGCGCTGCTCAACTCTAAACCATTGTGATCTGATAGCCTAAAAGACCATGGCCTTGCGAGATACGTGAATCAGACCAGCAACTTGTTGATGGTTCATGGAACATCTTCGGCCTAGATTGTTCATTGGTAACGTAAGTGTGTATATACTCTTTGGGATACCCAGACTACTTGGAGGATCATGGGACTTGCTAAGTCAGGCTACAAGTACCTTAGCTGAGGTTAGACGTAACTACAAGTAAGTATAGTAAGACTAATCATACCCCTATAGTCACTAAGTCCCATGATCCTTTAAGTATGTGGGACCCTTACGGCTCGATTTCGAGCAAGTCAGCCCTTTGCCCCAGAAGCCAAACAGCAACCAATGGAGCGAATCTGGCTGAAATCGCAATGCGAGAACCCCAAGGCCGAAACGGGCGTGAATTATCAAAGGTTCTGGGTCTACCTTAACCCCAAATCCTCTACGGTTCTGAGGACTTCCATCAGGAAACCAGAAGACACGGTTCACGTATCGCTTAGAGTCTGCTTGATACATGCGCCTCATGCGACTCTCTCTTGTGCATGAACTCTACCGAAATCAACCCTGAACCCTAAACCGTGAGCCCAAAAGCCTAACCCAAAACCCTAAACCCTGAACCCTAAACCTGGAACCCCAAACCCTAAAGCCTGAAAGCACCACTCCGGCAGGAGAAACGTGATCCGCGTCAGTGAAGCTCTTGCCATGGTCAGTGCCTGGAGCTATCAGAGGGCTTAGGGTCTACCCATAGGCCCCGTAGTAGTTCCTTTTTGTGGTTTGTATTTAGGATCCTGTTAGGTCCTCCTAGGTAATCCCCAAAAGAAGCTACTATGGGGCCTATGGGTATGGTCTACGGGGGCTTTGGGGGGGTTTAGGGTTTAGTAGGGATTTGGGGTTTAGCGTCTTTCGATCTTGCTGCTGGGTCACCCGTGCGTCTGCTCGGCTCCGCAAACACATCCCCCAAAATTCTACAATTCCCTAAAACCGGGTTGAATACAAACTTGATGCCCACTACGCCAGGTAAGAGCATCTCGGGAAAGAAGAGGGAGGACATCCAGACTTGGCCTGCCTATGTGGATCCCATGCTGCACTGGCGTTGTGGAGTGAGGAGTTCGGTGCTTGACCGCTAGGAAGGCGTGACTGTGTCAAGATGTGCCTTACTATGGATGCTTTGGTTCAGGAGCCCGAGATTTCACACATGTTGCACACACTCTGATCAAAAAGAATCCGTCCAATCCGAATCCAGCGCCGACAAGTTGACCGCCGAACTTGAATCACTACTTGTTGCCTGTTATCCGTATAATGAACAGCTTACTTGCTAAGGCCTTGATATTTTAAGCAGGAGCATGCTAGCACTAACAGCAGAAGCGAGCAGCGGCCGCCCACCACCACCACCACCACCACCACCACCACCACCACCACCTCAGCAACAGCAGAAAATGCAGCCTACATGGTGGCATTGCAGCGAAAGTGACTTTTCAACTTCTGGAAAGTCAGCTGTAGTTACGCATAGGACTGCACCAACCCTTGGTGCCGTGCTGCAGGGCTCCATCACTTGTGTTCCTGGGCAAACCGGAGCATACCCGAAGGCATGATCACACCAGTTGGATTGCATCGCAAGGCTACGCTGCTTCGCAAGTTCGATCCCGAAGTGAACGCCTTCATTACAACTCGGGAGAGTCAGAAGAATTCGAGGGCGGATGCTGACGAAACCATCAAGGCGCCGGGTGTGGGGAGTGTTTTTGTCCCAAGGGCTGTTCAAGCCCCTTTTCCAGCGAAGGCCAGCTTTCTTGCAGCCGGCGATGGCATTTTTGTTTCCTAATGGACCAAGAATCCAGAGTCCCAGCATGTTGTGGATGTTTGTAGATTTTGCTTGAGGCGAGGGTTTCAATGTTGCTTGCACAGAGGGTCCAAGTGTTGAACGTTCTAGCTCTTTCCAAGTCTGTAGCGTCTAGCCGTTTGGACGCAGTTCCGCAGATGCTGGTCTTTCTCACTATACTTTGATTAAAGCGCTTGCGCATGTATCCGGATACAGAACAGGCGGAAGATGCCGAGCCGGAGGAGGAGGACAGCGGAAGTGACTCCGAAGACGTGGGTTCACTCAGCGACACGCTGGACATGTAGCCCTGCTGAAAGTGGTGGATTTATTTGTTTGTTTTAGTGTGTGTATTCAAAACGCGGGACCCTCAGGTTGAGCTGTGATGGTTCTTGACCACAGTTCGGTGATTCTTAAAACTTTTAACTATAATGGACAACACTTGTTGAACCTATCTCGGATCACAACACCCTGTTCGGGTTAGAGATCTAGCTGTATGTATGTACGCATGCATGCATGCATGCATGCATGCATGCATTGTAAGAGGTTTAGGTAGTGTGTGTATGCAAGGAAGGCCATGTACGCATGCAGTGTATGTATGCCATGACTGCAACGTATGCAGTGAGGTGTGGTGTGGCGTGGTGAAGGGCAGTGCTAACAGAGCTGGTGCTGTTTAAAACTTGGCTTGGGGTATGATATTTTCAGGTGACGGCGCCCGTAACGCACCCTGCGTTTAAGCAACTTCCAGGTTTGAGGGTTTATGTTTCTCGTTTGGGTAGTGGCGGAGGGTGAATGGGGGGGGGCGGTCGTTCGTAGTGTGGCAATGCCCAATTCATTTTGTTTACAGCATTTCGCCTCTTCGCACAATAAGCTGCGCAAGGATGTGGAGTAAGACACGTTGTCAGAAGCATCCATGCATTTGGCGACCATGCCGAAACTTCATGTATTTATACGTTCTTGCGGTTTCTACAACATACCGTGCAAGATTGTGGAACAGGAGGCGTTATCACAAGCGGCCATGCCTTTCGTGACCATGCCAAAAGCTGGTATTTACAGTGTATTGCCTCTTTGTACAATATAATGTGCAAGGATGTGGATCAAGACAATGTTGTCACAAGAGCGTAAAGCCTTGGCCGGCCTCGGCAGGAAGTGTAAGGCCTGACAAAGTTTCGCTTGGGTCCACGCGAAAACGCTGCCGCCGCATAGGTACTAGCACTGTAAACATTCAGAAATATAGGATGTGTCAAGTAGTGTTGCCCTTCTGCTTGATGCGTTATGCTGTAAATATAGTGCGTTTTCCCAGGGTTTTGGCAACGTGCAACAACACGCTATATGCAAAAACACAGACGCATCACGCGCGCCGTCACCTAATCTGACTGGTCATAGGGGGAATGGTAGTACTGGTATTTGTGAGAATGATATGGTAATGTACGCGACAATAGAAAGTGCAAGGGTAACGAAGATAAGATTAAAGGTTAGGGTATGATATAGTATGGTTGACCAGTTTTGAATCCAGATTTTGCCAGCGGGAGCCACAAACCAACCATACTGCCTCATGCTCATGATGGTGTTGATGATGGTGATCATGATGGTGATGATGGCGATGATGTTGATGATGTTGATGATGATGATGACGACGCATTGCAGGCCGTGCAGTAACGAAGACGAATGGTTATTACGTAAGATTGTTCATCATGGACGGGCCGTCCTGCCAAGACAACGACACACACACACACACACCTGTCACAGCTTTGGGGCTTACGGGTCATATTAAGCCTATAAAGAACCCGACCGACTCCAAAACCGTAAGACTCTTTTTCTATGCGCGAAGGGCAGAGCTCCTACAGCAGCGCTTGACATGCAGAGACCGTGAAAACTGGAAAATGGAGCCTCATGTATACGCATTTTGGCGTTATTTAGCCCCTGTTACATGATCCTAGCTCCCTTGATGAATGCGAATCCGAGAGTCAACTAATCCTGAAGCCATTTGAGCCTTTAATGGTTCCCCCCAAGCCCTTCAAACCGCTGCAGGTACAGCCCCCCGCCGGCACAACCCGAGCAACTGGAAGAAGCGATTCCCGAAGCCGAAGAGGCTTCAGGATTCGCCTTTCAGTGAGGTGATTCTAGGGGCTGAGTAGGTAACCTTTAGCCTTTTGGGGCTTATATAATCCTAAGATAATTCAAAAGGTTAACCCTTTTTGGGCTAGGGTACTCAGCCCCTAAGTGATTCATTGGAGTCCAAAGGGGATTTACAAAGGCTACCGAGGATAGGGGTCATCTTAGGAAATCAGAAGTATCAGAAGCCAACCACTTTTAAAGCTCCCCTTGGAATCCAATAGCCAGATTTTTGCAGCCAGCAAAGGACAAAAAAGGTGACCAAACCATGGAGTAAGCCTTGATTTGAGCCCTTATTACATCCAATGTGCAGTCCACCTTTTAGCACCCCTTGTAACCCAAAGGCCATCATATTTGCCACCCTGCGACGAGCATCAGACCATGGAGTATAGTTGTTTAGAGCTTGGGGTCTAGATTATCGCCAAAGCTTGAAGCTTATCGGCGGCCCCGCTAACAATTCGACCCTGCGGGTGTGGGTTTAGGGGTTTAGTGATGTTTAGTGTGTATAGGGGTTGTTCTCAAAATCTTCCGTGGACTGACTCCTGGGCGGTGGAACGAAAGCCACGGATATCCAACATGCGCACTGAACAGGGAGATGCACCAATCAAACTAATTATATGACCACCGTTTCCTGATCACAATCATTAAAAGAGCCACTACCAGCAGTAGAATACCCCAGACCTTGCATATAGTTATCCCTTCATTGTGACGGAATGTGCCCGAAGTTATAGTAGGACCCCTCATATGGTTGAAGGTATATGCCTTACTGCACTTAAGGGATATTGAAATCTCTGGGATCCCTCGCGACTGAGGCCAGGGAGGAGCTCGAGGTCGCTTCTGACCATGATCTCCAGTGGCTCAGCGACATCGATACGGAAGGCCCAGCGGAGTTTTGTGTTGGGGAGGGGGCGGGGGGCCTAAAGTTTAGGGTTCAAGGTTAGGGGATGTATGATTCATGGCATAAGTTTTAAGGTTTCTGTGTTGGGTAAAGGCATTAACGGTGCTTCTTCAAGTTCGAAGGAGAGTTTTTCGTGATGTCGGTGTCTGGAGGGTCAAACGATTCGGGATGAGTTGCCGGAGGTTTAGAGGTCCTGCCTGCCGATTGTCGAGCTCAGCGTACAGAACTTCGTAGTTGGGCTTCGTCTGCATGGGCTTGATGGAGGGATTCCACTCCAGCGTTCTGTCGGTCACTCTCGTGACGGTCCTAGTCTGTCATGGCCTGCCATGCATCGATGCGAGAGAAGCCTCTGTTGGAGCGGCGATAGCCCGATGTCGCTGTCGGCAGTTACCTTGTGCTCTAAGGTGCTCCATACGATGCTGTCGCGATAGTCCCGCTTTTTTCAAGTTGGTGCGTCCTACTTAGCCTGCAGTCTGAAGTGCGCACGATGTGGCTACTTTGACAGCGGCCAGACTGATATTATTGTTCTGATGGTGCAGCAGGTCTTACAGCATAGTAGACAGTGCTTATAACGTGTAAGGCTGTGGGGCTGCCAGGAGTCGCTACCTTTAGTATCAATGGTACACGACACAAACAACGAACCAGTGTAGATGTACTACTTGACACCATCATCATCATCATCACCGTCATCATCAGCAGCATGATCGTAATGTTAATAACTAGCCGTCATCACCATTCCCTTACGCTTAAGAGGTTTCGCTAACCACCAGCGACTAGCGTCCCCAGAGACACAAGCCTCCACGGCCCACGCCCGTCAGATGCCGGTCTCTGCCCATTGGAGAAGTACACTCCTGTCCCACAGCCAGACGACAAAGCAGCACGCTCAGAGAGGGGTTTAGGGTTTAGGGTAGGCTCAGAGAGGGTTCAAGGTTCAGGGCCTACGGGTCATCGTCATGGAGCTTCAGCTTTGGGGGTATATTGTACTGTAATTACAACAAGGAACCGCCAAAATAGTTTCAGAGAATAAGATGGTTACTCTAGCCAAAGCAGTCCTAAGCATATCCTGGTCCAAGCATTCGCATTTGCAACAGTCTGCTGTTTGCTCTGCAAGTCGCTTTCAACCATAGCTTACGCCCAAGGAAAAGCACTTAAGCATGAACTATTGGTGGGGGTATTTCCTCATAAAACTCGTGCTTAGCTGCTTTGGGAGCTCCTACAAGATCATGTTAGAGAGCCCCCCCCCCCCCTCCCCAATCCTGTGGACGGACATGTTGCGAGAGAAGCAATTCGTGAGTTCCTTAGTTAACCCCTAAACCATAAACCCACGCATAAGGGGCGCCCGCAGGTAGGCGGCTCGACCGGGATCGTGAATTTGGTTTGAAATTCCCCACTATTTCCCGACCATAGGGAGCAGGCGCAGGAAGACCTTAAGATGTTGGCACAAATAAAGAAGGAACAACAGAGTAGCATTGCAAAGAGTGCCCTCCAGACCACGACATCCGAATTTGGACAACTGCATGTGGAGATATTCGACTACTCATGCCTCTTGCGGCTCCTCAACACGGCCCAGAAATGCAGCGTGAATCGCAATCATGGTGTACCAGAAGCAGTAACAAATTCTACCTCTTTGACCGTCAGACGGGCCCTGATGTCCTGAATGTTGCCGCAAGTCCTGATTTCGTCCGCAGTATGGGCCCAGAGAGATGTGGAGAGACTGCCACACATGCTTAGGACATATATATATATATATCACTGCATTGCAGGTTTCGGCATGTGTGTATGGGGCCTTGAATTCCGGCAGTTTACATAGCATTGTTTCAGCTTCCAGTTTCTGTTTGGGTTCGGGATTAAGGGAATTGCCTGGCTTGGGGAGCAGGAGGTCATTGTTTTGGGACAGAGCAGCCGGCCCTAATCTGCCAGCATTGATTCTTTGGTGCGATGGCTCGGACTTTCGCGCAGACAGTGGACGTGGTGAGGCAATCGCCGCTCATGATACTTGGCAAAATGTTGGCTGACTGTCTCGACCATGTGGCTGCCGCTGATGGTGATGATGAAGATGATCGTACTTGTTGTGTCAGTTGTGACGGCCCCGCAACCAAGCAATAACTACATCATGATGATGATGACGATGATGATGATGATGTTGATGACGAAGAAGATGAAGATGGCGATGGTGATGATGATGATGATGAAGACGATGTTGATTAAGAGGTCGATTATGATAATCATGATGATGATGATGATGATGGCCATGATGATGATGACGATGATGATGATGGTGATCATGATGTTGATCATGTTGATGATTATGGTCATGACCTTGACCATCACGATTATCATGACGATGATGATGGTGGTGGTGGTGGTCGTGGTGGTGGTCGTGGTGGCGGTCGTGGTGGCGGTGGCGGTGGCGGTGGCGGTGGCGGTGGTGGTGGTGGTGGTTGTGTTGGTGATTGTGTCAGGATGATGGCGATGGTTGTGCGACGCATTTCACAAAGGTGATTATGTTACTGCTCCTGCTGCTGCTGCTGCTGCTGCTGCCGCTAATCTTGCTCTTTCTGATGCTGGTATGTTACAGTAGTGACAGTTGTTACTACTAGCACTGCTGATATTGCTCCCGCCAGTGTCCTAGAGCCCTTGACGGTGCGACCGGGTTACTCCAACGGTCCATGAAGAGAGGGAGCTCCCGCGGCATGCGAGCTAGCGAGCAACACCAGCAGGATTTTGCCTCCTTTGTCGCGGGTGCATAAGCCCTTTGCACCGGTGCAAGAAAGCATTTGTTCCTGAATGTCGGAGTTTACTTTAAGCATGACCACAGAACATAACAAGTAGCAAGGGCTGCCTCTGTGCAAACTTTCGTGGTCTCTGGCATTTGATGCGTACTCTTCGCCTAGAAGCGACATATCCGTCGTTGTCTACTGTGCCACTATTGTCTCGTTGCCTCGCAGAGTCAAAGACAGGGCTTCGCCAAGTTAGGGGCCAAGCGCTCCAAAACCCAAACGCGACCCCAGATTGGCAATGGGCGTTTAGGAGTTTACGCGGGCACGCGCCCCCATACTGGACGTTTTGGTTCAGGGGTTGGACGCACGCCCCAAACCTGACAATATAGGGATTAGGGATTATAGGCGTACAACCCCAACCGAACATGGGTTCCCGGGGTTTGACGTGGCCCAGGTTACAGCACAACCAGAACTGAACATGAATGTCTTGTGAGTGCCCAGGAAACAGCCTACGGCGGAAGAGGTTCAAGAGGAAGAATGCTCTGGGAGCTTTGAGGATGGCTGTGTGGAGGCCCGGTCCCTGCAAGTCTCTTCGAGACCTCACCCTATAAGCTTTCCGGTGCATGGCTGTCGTTTTGGAGGTGCTCTGAGAAAGACCATGGAGGTAAGTGAAGCTGCCTACCTTACGAAATTCCGATTATGAAGTGCTGCTAGGCTTTAGGGCCTTTAAGGCGTTGTCGGTGATTCCCCAAAAGAACGGCTCTGTTCTGGTTCTGGATGCTGAATGTAGCACTTTCTTTTCAAGGGTGGGTAGATTTCTGGTAATATTCTAGACTTAACTAACCTATATACACTGCTCTTCAGCTACCCAGGCCTGTGGGTACTACCGTTTAGGTCGATGACCATATACCCTACTAAACGCGATGGCTTGAGCCAGGCACCCCGCCGGCGACCCAGTGTTCGAGCCATGCAATGAATCTACGGAAGAGAGATAGTGTGAGATATTGACGAGGGGGCTATCCGTTTTTAGGCTTGTCAGTTTCCTGCTTTGTGTTTGGATTCCGGATTTTGGGGCTGCTCTCAGGGCTTCTGGGTTCAATTCAGTCCAGACGAGTTTAGGGTTAGAGGGTGAACCCACCTCACCAAGAGCGACCTCATGCTGGCCGCAGAACACAGCTATCCCTACTAGACCTTTACTCATCTGTGCGTGCCTCCATTGGTTGAGCCCTGTCAGGTGGGTGAGACTTTGGGCTCCCTCCGCATGGAGGCCTTCGAGATCAGCCCCCTGACCAGGTTTCCGTTTCCGGCTTCGAGTTTGGAAGATTCAGGGTTCCGGGCTTGGGTGATAGGGTGCAGGGATCCGGGTTTGGGCATTTAGGGCTCGGGCCGAGGGGTACGAGAAGAGGCTGTCGGGCAAGCCGGGCTTGTATGTCTATACCCATAGGCCCTATTAAAGTAGTTCCTTTTAAATAGAATCCTATAAGGTAACCCAAAAGGAACTACTATGGGGCCTATAGGTATGTATCGTGAAAGCAGCATAGTGAAACAACAACCAGGACGGACCGACGTTCCAGGCATTGTGGCGACTCATTTACAAATCGCATTGTGGCTGTGAGGCCCTTTTGCTTGACTCATAGCAGCTGAAGCCATGAATCGAAAGAGCCGAGGTGATGCACTCTCGCAGGAGGCCATGTCAGAAATGAGGAGCTTCAACTTCTGTCGCTCAGCACGCAAGTCCATTCTATTGAGCCTGGGCGTCTCAGAAGGCGCAGCGCCCTCACCCGAGATGACGCAGGACGCTCCACGGCGCTCAGGGCACAAACCAGCGAAACATCAACAACGGGTAAACAGTTGTTTTGATTGACAACAAGAACTACATTCGCAGCAGCACAGCTCAACGACCATGGACAGCACGCGATCTGATAACGTCAGAGTAGTAGGCAGAATAGGGGCAGCAGAAGTGCATAGTAACATGTTTATGCGTCTTGTTGCCGTCGCAACACCCCAGTGCGGCTGGCCACAGCTACCAGTGCACTCCACTACAAACGCAACAATACAGTACCACTACAAGCAGCAGTCGCCACCGGAGCAGCAGGGTTTCGTCGCAGCTGGTATGTTGTTAGTGGTTGCGCTACTGCTACTGCTGCTGCTGCAGCTACCCATGCTCCTCTTTTACTAATCCTCCTCCTGCTCCTATTCCTGCTCCTACTACTACTACTACTACTACTACTACTACTACTACTATCACCACCACTAGCACACGACGACTGCCGACTGACGACGACGACTACTACCACTAAGAAGCAGTAGTAGTAGTAGTAGTAGTAGTAGTAGTAGCAGTAGTAGTAGTAGTAGTAGTAGTAGTAGTAATAGTAGTAGTAGGTGGTAGTAGTGGTGGTAGTAGTAGTAGTGGTAGTGGTGGTAGTAGTAGTGCAGTAGTAGTAGCAGTAGTAGTAGTAGTAGTAGCAGTAGTAGTAGTAGTAGTAGTCATAGTACTAGTAGTAGTAGTAGTAGTAGTAGTAGTAGTAGTAGTAGCAGGAGTAGTAGTAGTAGTAGCAGGTAGTAGTAGTAGTAGTAGTAGTAGTAGTAGTAGTAGTAGTAGTAGTAGTAGTAGTAGTAGTAGTAGTAGTAGCAATAGTAGTTGTAGGAACAGTAGTAACATGGGGCCTTGGTTATTG